AAAAAAAAAAAAAAAAAAAAAGGCTGCTTCAACATACATACATACATACACCAGCCTGCCAGCCAGCCCACCCGCCCGCCCGTTATTCTTATGGGATGAAAGAACTTGGCTAGTGCAGGAATTCTTCACTGGTTTTCGAGACAGACTCACATCTCATGGAAGCTATGGATATTTTCCAGTGTGCGTGTGTGCACACACACACACTCACACGTGCTGCTCTGTAGGCATATAGCTGCCGGATTCTGACCTATAACCTCGCTATTAAAGGCAGAGGTGAGATCAGGGTGAAGGCATATACCATAGGCTTCCTCGATGAGGCCACAGTAGGGATTGACCCCTGAGCCACTCCGCTTGCTCTCCTGCTCTCCAAGCCGCAGGATGTTCTCTAGTCCATTGAGGGCCACTTGTACAATCTTTGAATCCATTACAGTCAGCAAGTCACACAGGGGTTTGATGCAGCCCAGTGAAACTAGGTACCTGGGGACCAGAGATAAGGCAAATTCTAACTTAATGCAGAGCAAGTTAAGAGCTGGGCAGATGCTACAGTTTGCAGGTCTCCCTCACACGCTGTCTTAGTTACTTTCAGCAATCTACTCGTACAGAGGCTTTTTTTGGAGACAGGGTCAGGCTACTCAGGTTGGTCCTGCACTTAACATGTAGCCCAGGCTGGCTTCAAACCTGTGATTGTCCTGCTTTGTCTAATTCTAAGAGGACAGGCATGCACTACTATGCCTGGCTTTACATGGTCTTTTTAAAAGTTTTATTATTAAAAGTTTTTTTTTGTTTATGTGGTCTTGATGACCACCTATCCTTTCCCTCACTCTCTTCACCTTTCCTTTTCATTCAATTTATTTCACATGAACACAGACTCTTCCTTCTCAGCCCTAAAGTTTCACTGGCTACAATATTACCACTCTGAATACTTTTCCGTGTTTAAAATTTTTCACAGGTTCCCTATTTCCCTGAGTCCAAGATCTATGGGTAATACAGATGCTCTACAACCCGAGCTTCTAGCTCTTTTCTTTAGCTCTGCCTTCTACTCCCTTCTAGGGATATTACGTTCCAATCACACTGCTAAAGGCTGAAGATTTCTTCTGGAGCTCCGCCCCCCTCTGTCTTTGCAGTGTGAGGGATTGAATCCAAGGTCTCAAGCTTACTAGCTAAGTGTTCCCTCACTAAGCTACATACTGAGCCTTTTTTTTTTTTTTTTTAAAGTTTGAAACAGGGTCTCTAAGTTGCTCAAGTGGAGCTCAAACTTGGAATTCTAATTCGTATTCAGACTAGCTGAGATTCTCGGAGTATACCATTTCCCAGCAGGTCTCCAGATTTTTTATTCTTTTTTTTAAAAAAATATTTATTTATTTATGTATTTAGTGTGTGTGTGACCAGCTCAGCCCACCAGGGGGCAGGGCTGGCTGGCATGTGGTGCTGGGGGATTGAACCGCGGGCCCTCTGCTTTGCTTGGCTTAGCTTGTTCTAAGTAGGTGCTTTAGACCACTGAGCCATCTCACCAGCCCCAGATTTTTTATTCTTGTTCCTCTACTTACATCTTTTTTGCGGAACCAGGGATTGAACTCAGGCCGTTGTGCTTACCAGGCAAGCGTTTATTCTACTGAACCATCTTCCTGGCCCCTCTACTTACATCTTGCTCTAACAAGTTTTTAGACAGAATCCTGTATTTATTCTTTAATGCTCAACTCAATGCCTATCCCTCTTAAGGTTTTATATCTACTGAGTGTACTTCCTTGAGTAGGCCAAAGGAGAGGGCAAGACATTCAAATCCCATTTTCCAAGTAAGATGCAGACAATGGAAATTAAAATAAAAAGCACCATGTGCTCACAGACATAAACAGAGTAACTTTCCATTTGTTTCTCTTAAGGCTCATTGTCTGCTGGGTATGGTGGCACATGCCTTATCCCAGCACTTGGGAGGCTGAGGCCAGCCTGAGCTACACAGTAAGACCCTGTCTCAAAAACCAAAACAACAGTAACAAAAAGACTCACTTTCAAAGATTATTTCTCAGTCTGGGCTACATAGTAAGTTCAAGTCCTGTCTGGACAACATAGTAGGACCCTGTCTCAAAAAATAAAAAAAATCCCTCAAATTCAAAGCACTGGGGGGAGGGCCGGCTGAACAGCTCAGTGAATTAAAGTACCTGCAAGCAGGCACAGGGGTGGGGTGTGTGTGGGGGGTTGATCCTCAGGCCTGCTGTGCCGGCCCCATCCCCGGGGTGCGCCAAGATGGCAACTGAGATTGGGCGTGGTGGTGCGTGCCTGTAATCCCAGCTCTTGGGAGGCTGTAAACAGGTGGATCACTACAAGTCTGATCTACATAGTAAGACCCTGAAAACCCCAGACCCTTTCCTAAAATAAAAAGAACACGAAGAGGGGGGAAAAGAAACAAACCAAACCCAAAAAGGCTGCTTTGATGGATCCAGAACATGGCTTTTCACTTGTCTGAATAACTAAGAATTATACAGATTTTAGTTTTTTGGGGATTAGGAAGAGGAATAGGTAGAGAAAGGATGATATCTGTACCACAGGTTTCAATTCTTCGGTAGAGAAAAAGAGGTACCACATGTTATGGTCTATTCCTGATTCTCCTATCACTGTAACAGCTTACCAGTTAAGTCCTATTGCAGCTGAATTAGGGGACAGACCTATCCTAGCAAAAGCAGTTTATGTAAATCATGTACAGAGGAGAACACACCTATCATTCAAGTCAATGGGAAAGGAATGTGATACCTGATCTGCTCAGGAGTTCCTCCTGATGTGGCGTTGGTGATGGCCCAGGCTGCTTCTTTCCTTGTACGGAACTCTGCTTTCTGAAGGATTTCAATCAACACAGGGAAGATATTTGCATCTATGACAGCCTGAGATAGGATTGGGGAGAGGGAGGAGAGTCACTTCAGAAGAGAAAGTAAATCCAGCTCTTCTAGATGTGGCAGCCTGAGCCAGCCAAGACGAGATTCAGACATCTTTCCCCACCTGGGAATTCTTTGTTCTTCCCATATAGGTAACAGGCTATAGAGAAATGCAGCTTCCACTAAACAGAACTGATGCTACCTACACACACACACACACACACACACACACACACACACACGTATTTTGATTTCTGGTAATGATTATCAGCTGGGGATTGAAGGCAGGGTCTTGTGCATGCTACGCAAGCACCATACCTCTGAGCTACACTCTGGCCTCTTGGTTCCAACTTTTCTTTTTTTTTTTTGGTCTTTTTTTGTGGAACTGGGGATTGAACTCAGGCCCTTGCATTTGCCAGGCAAGTGCTTATTCTACTGAGCTATCTCCCCAGCCCCCTTTTTTGGTCTTTTTGAGACAGAGTCACATTATGTAGTGCATGCTGGCCTTGAGCTTACTTTGTAGCCCAGGCTAGTCTCCAACTCGCAATGATCCTCCTGCCTCATCCTCTGCTGTGGCAAGTGCCACCACACCCAGCCTTTGGTCCCAACTTCGAGAAGGAAACAGATGCTTTCCTCTGGAAATAAACATCCTACAACCTCTCATGTTCTGATGCCTCCTTAGAAGCCTTGGCTTCCATGCTGTTCTACCTGTATTTGAGCCCTGTTGCCAGCAGTGATGTTTGAAATGGTCCAGCAAGCTTCCTTTCGAATTGATTCCTTGGAGCTGCTCAACAAGTGGAGGAGGCAAGGGAGGGCTGAACAGTTAAGAATGACCTACAACAACAAGAGCACAGGAAACAAAAGAAAAATTAGATATTTGGACTTAATCAAAATAAAAAAAATTTTGTATAAGATAGAATAGTAAAAAAGAAAAAGCATAACAAAAAGGCTAAAAATATTTGTAAACATGTATCTAGGATTCAGGATGTAGCTCATTGGCAAAGTGGTTGCCCAGCATGCCTGAGGCCCTGGGTTTAATCCTCAGTATTGACAAAAAGAAAAAAAATCTAATAAGGGATTGATATCTAGAACATATAAAGAAATCCTACAACTAAACAACAAAAATGCTCCTAAACAACCCATATAAAAACTAAGCATGTGCTTGCTTTGGCAGCACATATACTGAAAAATGAGCAAAAGGGTTGGGAATTTAGTTCAGCAGACTAGTTGTGCAGCATGTGTGAGGTCCTGGGCTCAATTCCCAGTATCATACCAAGAAAAAAAAAAGGATGGTTCTGCAAAAAAAAAAAAAAAAAGAAAGAAAAGATAAAAGAAAAAAAATGACCCAAATAGGTATTTCTGTGAGATGTACATAATCTGACAGTATAAAGTAAGACAACCTCTGAAAATAAGCCCTACCGCATATTTTGGAGCAAAAATTAATGTAAGAGCCAGTTTTATTTTGGGGAAAATACAGAACACAAACCTTGAAGATATGATGTTCAGTGAAATAAGCCAGACGCAAAGGACTATATGACTCTAGTGATATGAGGTGGCCAGAACACTCAAATATAGAAAGTACAACAGTGATCATGAGGGACTGGGGGAGAAGAGAACTGCATTTCTTTCTTTCATTTTTTAAGTCAATTCATTTTGATATTTGAACAGATCTTTTTTTTTTTTTAAATGTATTTAGTACAGGGTCTACAGGGTCTCACTACACAGATTGGACTCAGCGATTCTCCCGTTTTCAGCTTCCCAAGTGCTGGGATTATAGGCGTGCGCCACTACGCTCAGTCTGAGAATTGCATTTTTTTAATGTAAAGTTTCAGTCTGAGATAATGAAAAGTCCTGTAGATGGCTGGCTGGATAGTTATTATCATTGAATTTTACATTTTGAAATGGTTAAAAATGGTAAATTTTGTGTTATTTACTGTTTTAAGAGGGTCTCACAGAGTTTAGGCTGGTCCTCAATGAACTCATTATGTAGTCCAGGCTGGCCTCAAACCTGTGGCAATCCGACTGCCTCATCCTCCCAAGTGAAGTGCTGGGATTATAGGTATGTGCCACCACACCTGGCAGATATATTTTATTCACATTTTTTAAAATTATTTATTTATTTATTTTATTTAATTTATTTTGTGTGTGTAGCCAGCTCAGCCCACCAGGGGGCGGGGCTGGCTGGCATGTGGTGCTGGGGGATTGAACCGCAGTCCCTGGGCTTTGCTTAGCCTGTTCTAAGTAGGTGCTTTAGACCACTGAGCCATCTCACCAGCCCCTTTATTTACATTTTAAAAAAAGTTTTGGGGCTGGGGAGACAGCTCGGTAGAATAAGCGCTTGCCTGGCAATCCCCGGTTCCGCAAGGAAAAAAAAAATTTATTCTAGATATACTTAGTTTTAACAGTCATCACAAGGAATTCCCACCTGTACAAGGTATCTCTTGCTTCTTTTTTCCTATTCTCCTCTCCCTTCAGTCTCTCTTTCTCTACCAAAGCTTTGCTTTGTTTCCAATTTTTCCTTATTTTCTTTTTTGGTCCCTTCTTTACTCTTCTACTCCTTTGTTCCCCTTCTCATTTCAACATTTTTTCCCATTTTCTATTATATTTTGGTCCTTATTTACACTTCTGGTTTCTCACAACATACACTTCTGGTTTCTCACAACAGAGAAACAATGCAATATTTACACATGTCCAATTTATTTCACTTAAGAGAATGGTGTCAGGGTGCAGCCATTTACCTAGAAATGTCTCAAGCTTATCCTCCTTTATGGCAGAGTAAACTATATTGACTTATGTTATATTTTAATGTGCGTGTGTTCATACAAATGCATACCTTCACATAAAATGATCTAGAAGGGCCAAGGAGATGGCTCAGTGGAATAAGCGCTTCCCTGGCAAGTGCAAGGGCCTGAGTTCAATCCCCGGTTCCACCAAAAAAAAAAAAAGCAACAAAATGATCTAGAAAATGAGGGTGTAAGTTTGAGAGATTGCTTACCTGCTAAGGCAGGGGAATTCCATGAGTTCAAGGCCAGGCCAGGATACAGAGCGAGACCCTATCTCAACTCCCCACTTCACCAAAAAAAAAAAAAAATCCTATAGGGGGCCTGCCCCTTGACTCAGTTCTTTAAGTGGCTGCTTCAACAAAGCAGTCAGGCTCAGGTTGCTGTGGTTCTATCCCCACAACTCAAGCCAGCCAAACCTGCCCTGAAGGCATTCGGAGCCAGCCAGAAAAAAAAAAAAAAAAAGATCCTACAGAATTATGCCAATTATCCAAGATCTGAAAAATTATATTTTTATACCCTTTAAACAGAGAATCTTGTTTATCTCACTGAAGAGGTACTTTCATTTTATTTTTCATATTTTTTATATGGGCTCTCCCTGTATTTTCCAGGCTGGTTTCAAACTCCTACGCTCAAGAGATTCTCATCTCAGTCCCCACAGTTCATGCCGCCATGTCTGGCTGGGAGGGGTTACTGACATGAGAATAACATGAGCTAATGTCCGTGGGCGCCGAAAGGTCTAAGAAGCAGGTATGGAGTTCCACAGCTTCCAGTATTTGAAAAGAATCATGACTCACGCTTAATAGCTACCTTACAATGTCTCAGGAAGTCCAGTTATTTTACTCAGTTTTCTTTCACAAGCATCAAGTAGATGATGATTTGTTTCCAATTTGTAGTAGAAACAAGTTGCCCCTAATCATATAAAGGCAAAGCTGGAATTTTTTTTTTTTTTAATTGAAGCCATGCTTTCTGCTGGACTGTGTTAGGCAGACAAAGTTTTTGTCCACTGGTAGCTTTCCATAATGCTCTCCTATAGCTGGCCTGAAATGAGATTTTTTTTACTTCTTCCTTACCTGTGTCTGGATGTCATCCCCTGTGACGATGTTACCCACAGCTCTCAGAGCAGGGGAAGCCACTTTGTAATCATTGTGCCTACAGAGGAGAAAGATCTGATCAATGGGAGGCCAGTAGACCATGTTAAGCCCTGCTGATCACCCACGCTGACAACATTCTCATGGCTCCAACTTTTAGGAAAGTCAGCAAACTGTGGGTTGCAGTTTTTCATGAGAGCTTGGAGAAGCTGAAGAAACTTTTACCCTGTCTACTCACATCAGAAGCTCTACCAATCTCCGGCATACTCCAGAGTCTATAACTGCCTGGATCTTCTCGTTGGGGCCATCAGACAGGTAAGAGAGGGCCCAGCAAGCATCTGCCAGCAAGTCTGAATCACTGCTGAAGAGTAGGCGAGATAATACGGGCAAACACGGAGAGACCTGTTGGAAGCAGAGTGAAAAGGACTCAGTGAGACGGGTATATCAGCTCTATCACTGAGCCTAACACTGCTACCATCTCTCCAAAAAGTAATTCTTGATCCTGGGATCTTCAAATCTTTACCATTAGGTATACAAGATCACCTTCTTCATTGACAACTGCCTCTTTCTAGGTTCCCATGATTTGAGGCCTCAAAGAATATCCGACTTAAAAAATTTCATATAGTGGACTTGACTATCATGCAGGGGCTGGCAGGCAGCTTTCTCACCTTTGCGAACTCTGGGGGTGGGTTCTTCCCTCGGCAAAGGTTTGACAGGGCCCAAACCGCGTTTCGTGTCATTGTCAGTCTTGTGGACTTGGTAAGGAGTCTGAAGGAAAAAGGCAAGGCCAGATCCTGTGCACCGATGCCCCAGCATAGGGCTGATGCCCCCAAATCCCAGGAAACAAACTCAGTGACACTCCCTAAGACTGTAGAAGCCCAGTTTTCCTACCCATACACCTCAATCAATATAGCAGTTTGGCTGATCTGTGCACATGAGATTAGGACCAACTGTGGCTTAGTGACATCACTGATAATAGAGACAAAACAGAAGCCCAGATCTTGAGTAAGCGCGCAAAGCTTCTAGATACACGTTGGGGACAAGTAATGTTCTCATTGGAAAGAAAAGCTGAAGGTCCAGTGAGAGGATGTTACCTATGCAGGATGGAAGAACTTTCTTAAAGGGTCTATGGGAGCCAGGGTGATAGCTCAGCAGCATAAGTGCCCGCCTGGCAAGCCCAAGGTTCTAGGTTCAATCCCCAGTACCAAAATAAAAAATAAAAATAAAGAAATAGTTCCTCTCTTTTGCTTTAGATTTAGCTTTTGCTAAGGATATGGGGAAAGGGAGGAATGGGAGGATTCTAGATGACCTTTCATGGGATCTTTGATCCATGAATTACAACAGAACTGTCCAATGTAGCTATGCATAATATACTAGCATGTCAATGTGTCCTATAGAGAAGGCGGGACTTTTTCAGACTTGTCCTGCCTTTCTCCATGCCTCAGTAAGGCAGATATGACCAATGTGAAGTTCTACAACACCATGAGGTAGGGAACAAGATCTTCCTTGACACAGAACACAGGTGTAATATTCTAACTTTCAAAGCATAACTTTTACTTTGGTGATCAGAATGCACTTCTGCAGTTTTTGTATTTACCTATCATCCTTTTATTTATTTTTTATTTTTTCTACCTATCATCTTAACAAGGCAAGTAAGCTGCTCCCAAATGACTCTGTCTTATGACCACCCTATAGATGCCCCAGGTGCAAATGACTGCAATTACTCACGTTAACAAAGGATTAAGGATGGAGCAGTTCAAGACGTAATCTCGGCAAACGGAACTGTCTCCAGCTATGTTTCCCAGAGCCCAGACTGCCTGAAAAGAGGATGATGGAACTGTCATCCATAGGACCCGGTAGCGTCTTGACTACTTTATAGACAGCACTACAGAGTATCCACTGGCTGATAGCAATGTTAAGGTCCAAAACACAAACAAGCTCAAGTAACCTCCCAGTGGAAATTCTGAAGGCAGGCTGCCTGCCATCTGTACTGTAGCCAGAGAAATCAAACCAAATCTTGGCATCCCTACCATTCCCGGGAAAGGAGGAAGGAATCACCAAATTGCAATCTTATAGCCATTTTGGACCAACTATATACATAGTAATGGAGGAACATCCCATTACCACTCTTCATATCTGTCCAACCAGCAATAATTCAATGGGAAAAATTAGAAATTATAATTTTATCTCTATGATCTGTGGGTACTGAGAAATGAGTATTATGCCGTCTTGCTCTCTTTTTAATTCTGAGAAAGTTTAATTATTGAACTCACAATGTAGCCCAGGCTTGCCCAATTTGCAGTGAGCCTCCTTCCTCAGCTTCCCAAGTGCTAGGAGTACAGACACGCACCATCACAGCTGGCAGCGGTGCCTCTTTTCTAACACAAATCGCACATCCAACAATTCAATTCAATTTTGACACTAACGCACAAATGCCACAGATCAGTCTTATAGGACTAACCCTACTTTGGACTAAACCCAAATCCCAACAACCACTTTACTTCTGACCAGAGGTAATTTTGAGGATTCCCGCAATTCTCTCTGCTTTGATGACTAGCAAGGATGCTTCAGCAAAGTCAAGAAAACACTATGGATGTTTACTTAGTTTATTATAAAAGACAAAAATGATAAACAGTCAAATAGAAGAGAGGCATACAGCAAGGCATGGAGGGCTGGTTGTGCAGAGCTTCCACACCCTCTGCTACCTTTCCAGCACAGAGGTGTGCTCACTAATGTAAAAGTTCTATTTTTATTTTTATTTATTTATTTTTTTTCCTCAACTGTCCATGTCAATATGCTGTGATTTTACCCTCATAGAGGCAAAATCAAAAAAAATCAACACAGCCTTTTCTTTCAGCAGGATAATGACAGTACTTCCACAAAATAAAAGTTCTATTTTTAAAAAACAACATTTACAACCCAATCTCCAGTCCCCCTTCTCCCACTTCCTGAAGAGGGATGGCTGACAGTTCCTGGCCTCTAATGCTGTGTTTGGTCTTTCTGATGACCAAGTCCACCTGAAGACTACGGACAGGATGCAGAGACTCCAAGGGCTTTCAGAACACCATGCCAAGAACTGGGACAGAGACCAAATGTTTTTTGCTATACCACTGCAATCAAGAGAATTAAGGCAAATCTGAGCATTACCTGTTCCTGTACATCCTCAAAGTCTGAGTTAAGCAGCTCTATAAAAATCGGGACAGCTCCTGCTTCAATAACAATTCTTGTCTGCTGAGAGGTTCCAGAGGCGATGTTTGTTAGTGCCCAGGCAGCTTCAAACTGAAAGTGAGATTAAGGGATGATTGAGAGGTCATTCTGAAAAGAGCAGCCACATCTATCAGTGGCTCAAAGTTTTTGCCAGGTGTGGTGGAGTACGCCACTATCCTAGCACTCAGGAGGCTAAGGTAGGAGGACTGAGAGCTCAGGGCCAGCCTGGGCTACATAGTGAGATCCTTTCTCCAAAGGCCAAACTAAACCAAATCAGAACAATATGAAACAAAGTAGTACACTTTTTGCCCATCAGCAAGAAAACCAGCTAGGCATGGTGATATATGCCTACAACCTCAGTTACACAGCAGGCTGAGGCAAGCAGCACAAGTTGGAGGACTCTGGACAATTTGCTGAGAACCTTTCTACAAGGAAAGGGGTGGTGGTGGCGGCGGCAGGGATGGAGTTTTAAGAGTGCTCGCCTGGATGCCTAAGTCCCTGAATTCAATTCCTAGTACTCAAAATCAATAAAACTGAAAACATAATCCTTTTCTCTCCCTGTAAGAAATGGTAGGAAGAGCAGTGACGTGCCACATGGAAAGACGGAAATAGACTTCGGTCAGTCCAGGTCTAAGAAACCACAGGTCATTTTTTTATTTCCCGAGACTCACTTTCTTAATTTCTAACGCTAAGGTAAGAGTGAGATGGGCCTCTTAAAGTCTCTATCAGCCAAGTCTCTAGAATGTTCAAACTGATTTATCTATCATGCATCTCTGAGAAGAGAAACTGAGAGGCTAACAATTCCTCTTGGCCAAAACAGTAAGTGGAACAGACAATAATTTGTAATGAAATGGTCAGCCTGTCATATTCTTTTTTTTTTGTTGCTCGAATGCCTTCAGGGCACTTTTGGCCAGCGGGAGAGGTGTGAGGTTCGAACTCCAGCAACCTGAGGCTGACAGCTTTGTGGAAGCAGCCACTTAAAGGCCTGAGCTAGGGCCAAGCCCCCCAGCCTGTCATATTCTTGTATCTTCCCTTCAACATTACCAAAAAAAGTTGTTTTAAAAAAATTGTTTTTGCAGTGGTGGGGATTGAACCTTAGCCTTGTGCATGCTAAGCAAGTGCTCTATCACTGAGCCACACACATGCACAAACATGAATGTTTTGATAGATAACACTGTATGATATCATGTGCAACATGATGTTCTAAAGTGTATATATTTACACACACACACACACACACACACACACACACACACACACACACACACAGAGTGGAAGGGACACACGCCTAATAGACAAGGGCATTAATTCTCCATATAGTTATTGCTGAGATTGTTCTAAGGAAGAGATTTTGGATCTTTTCTGAAGTCAAGATTGCTGAGGAAACTGACAGCTTCCTTTAATAGCTCCTTATATTACTTGTCTGCTTCCTCAGAGTTGTGTCAAATAGTACAGTTTCTTAGGTGAAGTGCTTCCCTCCGTTATTAGTATCTTTAGGCTTTACCTGTAATGTACAATTCTCATTCCTCTTCAGAAATTCCACAAACCGGTCCACTACTCCTGGAGTGTTGATAACTTCATCTATTGGAGGACTAGGCTCTGAAAGAGAGGGAGGTAAAAAAGATAAAAAGTCAGAGGAGGCTTTGGTTTATCTATTTACAGAGGAGGCCACCATCCTAATCTTTCTTACTTGTTTTGGAGACAGGAGCTTGCCAGGAAGTTCATGCCGGCCTTGAACTCACTATACAGTTTAGGCTGGCTTTGAACTTGCAGCAATCTTCCTACCCAGGCTCTTGAGTGCTGGGACTACAGGTGCGCACCACCACACCTGGTTACCTATTTTTCTCCTAAGAAAGACCAGCAGGGGCTGGCAAGATAGATCAGCAGACTAAAGCGCCTGCTTAGGCAAGCGCAGGGACCGAGGGCTGGCTGAGCAGCTAGAGTCCAGGTGTGGTGGCACACACGTGCAATCCCAGCGCTGGGGAAGCTGAAAGCACGAGGACCACCACAAGTCTGAGCTGCATTGTGAGTTGTAACAACCAAATGCATTTAAAAAAAAGATCAGCAGTGTTGTTTTATAGGATTTTTCTGAGACAGGGTCTTGCTATGTAGCCTAGGTTGGCCTTGAACTCACAACAATCCTATCAGCCTCTCCAGTGTTGAGATTACAGGCCTCTGCCACTATGCTCAGTCTCCAATTTCTTTCTTTTTTGTCTTTTTGAGACAAAGGTTTGCTATGCAGTCCAGACTGGCCTTGAACTCATTTTATAGCTCATGCTGGCCTCAAACTAACACTGAACCTCCTGTTAGCCTCGAGAGTGCTGGGATTCAGGCATGTGCCACCACACCCAGCCTCAATTTTCATAATTACTATGTGCTCCCAGTTCGGAATACTAAAGATACAGCAGTGAACAAAATCCAAACTCTCTGCCCTCATTAACTTTATTTTATTTATTATTTTTTTTAAATTTTAAATTTTTATTTATTTGTGTGTGAGTGTGTGTGTGTGTGTGTGTGTGTGTGGCCAGCTCAGCCCACCAGGGGGCGGGGCTGGCTGGCATGTGGTGCTGGGGGATTGAACCGCGGTCCCTGTACTTTGCTGAGCTTGTTCTAAGTAGGTGCTTTAGACCACTGAGACATCTCACCAGCCCCCTCATTAACTTTAAAGCCAAGTGAGAAGAGGCTCTAGCATCAGAAGGTAACAATAAGCACAGCTGGGCCTCGATATTCAGGACTCTGCATCTGCACATTCAACTCGGACAGAAGGTGATGAGGTCAGTGATGAGAAACAAGAGACTAAACCACATGAAGCTTCTCTGAGAGGAATCCAACTGTACCTTTGGAGAGCAGCTTCCGAAACTTCTGTGTGGTTGCTAACTGCAAGTCGGAATCGTCAGAGAAGAGCATCTCTACCATCTCTCGTGTGATCACACTCTCCTAGAATATAGATTAGCTTCAGAGCTTCGCAAACCAACACCATAGCCAGGTGTGAGCACATGACCCTACTTCCTAAGACTTTAGGGTAAGAGGATGGTGTAAGAAACAGGCTTCAAAGGGGCTTATTTAATCCATGCTTGCTTCAAGTTTGGACATTCAACAATGCCTCCTACTCACTCACACAACTAACTGATGCTTCCCTTAAATATTTGTCTGAGTATATTTCTGCCAAAAGAGGACCTTTGTGCACTTCTATAAGCTGACCACCTACAAAATGACTCATGGAAGAAAGAGCTTAGCATTACTGGCAAAACTACCCGGTAACATGAACCATCCAATTTACGTTTTGTAGAAGCAGGCATGTCCCAGGCCTGCCTCAGGCACACACAAGGCCTTACCCCAGTAGTAGAGCTCACGTAGGAGTCCATGAGGAGACTATCAAACATGGCAGTTTCTTCATTAATCAGTTCTACATTTCTTCTTTTAAAAAGCTGAAAGAAAAGTGAAGAGACAAAGGTAGGACTATTCTCTGAATCAAAGAAAACAAAGAATCCAGTGCTAAGGCTGGCCTAATAGAAAAGGGCATGCTAGGCAGTGGTGGCAAACCTGGGGCATATGTGCCACTGTGGGATACATGAATCACTGAAAGCTCTAAAACATTCACCATCACTGAGCTAGGGTAACTGAGAAAAGAAGACCAAGCTTCGTAATGACACTGACAGTCATTCAATGGCTTTACTTTCTATGTTATCTAATTGTTCATATCTTTTTTTTTTGTGTGTGTGTGTGTGTTTAGTACAGGGTCTACAGGGTCTCACTATGTAGATCAGACTCAGTGATCCTCCTGCTTACAGCCTCCCAAGTGATGGGATTACAGATGCATGCCACCATGCCCAGCCTCAATCAGTCTCAATCACTGTCTCAGCATGCCTGGGGTGGATGGGCGTGTGTGTGTGTGTGTGTGTGTGTGTGTGTCCCCTGTGTCTCAATCACTGTCTCAGCATGCGTGTGTGTGTTGTCTGTCTGTGTACATGTGCGCAGCATAACAGGCCAGGGGATTGAACCCCCGACCCCTATGTCTGCCTAAGCAGTCACTTTAATCTGCTGAGCTATTTGGCCAGCCCTTAATTGTTCACATCTTTTAAGAACATTTTTTGGTACCAGGAATCAAATTCAGGACCTTGTACTTGGAAGGCAGGCGCTGTGCTGCTCAGCTATATCCCCAGTCCAAGAACATTTTTGTTCTCTCTCTTTTTTTATTTTTTGGTGGTACCAGGAACTGAACTCAGGACCTTGCGCTTGCCAGGTAAGCACTTATCCCACTGAGCTATCTTCCCAGCACTCCAAGAACATTTTTTATAAGGAAAAAACTTTGAAATCCTCTTTGCCTCTTCCCTTTTGCGGCCATCACTGGAGTTGCAGCGGCCAAAATGAAGTTTAATCCTTTTGTGACTTACGAAGCAAAAACCGTAAAAGGCATTTCAATGCGCCTTCCCACATTCGCAGGAAAATTATGTCTTCTCCTCTTTCCACAGAGCTGAGACAAAAATATAATGTTCGCTCTATGCCTATCCGAAAGGATGATGAAGTTCAGGTTGTGCGAGGACACTATAAAGGTCAACAGATTGGCAAAGTAGTCCAGGTTTACAGGAAGAAATATGTCATCTACATTGAACGGGTGCAGCGGGAAAGGCAAATGGCACAACTGTCCATGTGGGCATTCACCCCAGTAAGGTGGTTATCACCAGGCTAAAACTGGACAAAGACCGCAAAAAGATCCTGGAACGGAAAGCCAGGTCTCACCAAGTAGGAAAGGAAAAGGGCAAATACAAGGAAGAAATGATTGAGAAGATGCAGGAATAAAGTCCTCCTGTGTGTAACTTTTAATTAAAAATGCTAAAACGAAAAAAAAAATCCTCTTTGCCTTTTGTGTAAAAAAGTATTGGTAAGAAGTATCTGCAAGGGCTGGTGAGATGGCTCAGTGGTCTAAAGCACCTACTTAGAACAAGCTTAGCAAAGCACAGGGACCGCGGTTCAATCCCCCAGCACCACATGCCAGC